CCCCCGGCCCAGCTCTTTAGAGGCAGCGGTGGTGTGGGGTGCTAGCAGACGGGGATGGAGGGGACGGCAGGGCAAGCTTCCTTCCCCGCTCCTGGGAAGCAGCGGTGTGGGGTAGGGTTAGGGTTATCAAGCTTCCCCCCTTCACTCGCGCCCCACCCCATCATTCTTGAAGGGCAAATTTGCGTGTGTGTGTGCGTGCGCGCGCGCTAGATGCTTCTAGCCCACCTTTTCTGATTGCTTTCTTGTTCGAGGGAAGGAAAATATTGTGGCTATTCTCCATGAATTTTTTTTGTAACTTGTCTAAATGCTACAGTGATAAATTATTAAAATAGAAAATGTCTGGTAATGAATGTTTTCTCCATCAGTCTAGACCAGGGGTGGGCAAAATACGGCCTGTGGGCTGGATGCAGCCAGTGGAGGGACTTTGTCCAGCCTGTAGCGGGTCTCTCGGTCCCACCTGGCCCAGGCATGATCCGGCCCATGATGCATCCCATCACACCCCTGGGCACTCGGGCTGGGGTGGCTCTGCAGCTAGGCAGCCCAGGTGGTGGTGGTGGCTCCTTCCAGCTGCCACCGCCACTGCCTTAGCTCTGACGGAGACCCATGTGCACAGCCTCGACCCTGGCCCGCCTCGCGACCACTCTGGACTTGGTCTGGTGGAGCAAGCCAGCTGGAACCTGCATGCGCAGCCCTGACCCTGGCCTGTCTCTCACGTGCTCCAGACTCATCTGCCCGCAATGAGCAATGGCAGAAGCTGTTGCTGGGCGTGGAGGAAAAGCAGCCCTTCTCCTTCGCCACTGCCAGGCCCATCTTGCTGCAGCTGCCCAGAGCCTGTGCCTGGGCTGTCCTGTGGCTGCTCTCTGCCACTGTCACTGCTGTGTCTGGGCTGCCCAGTGGGGGAGTGGTGGCAGTGCAGAGAATTTGCAGGGTGTCACGGGCTCTGGGCAGCTGCAGCAAGAAGGGCCTGGCAGCGGTGAGTGGGAGGGGCCACTTCTGCCCAGCCACTGCTGCTACTCATTGTGGGCTGGCAGTCTGGAGCAGGTGCGGGCCAGGGGCGGGGCTGTTCCGCTCTGGCTGGGGTGAGTATGGGGCGGGCCAGGGTTGGGGCTGGGGCTGTGCACTGTTGGTGGCAGAGAGGAGCCGCAGGGCCTGCAGGCTCCAGGCTGTTACTGGGTGAGGGGAGTGCTGGTGATTGGCCTGTGGCAGCTCTCCAGAACTGCCTATGTGGCCCGCAGGTCCAAATAATTGCACTGCACTGCACTGAAATATTCTAAATGGATCAGATTCCTTTAGAAATCCAATGTCCAAAAACATCAAACAGTAACATTTTACACAATCAAACTGGAGAAGGCTTTTGAAACTGAGTAGTATGCAGAAACAGTCCCTCCTGGATCAATCTGCGTAGATAGCGAACTTGTGTGGCTCTTGTCTGACGTACGTGCATATAAGTAAGTGATCTTCTCGTGAGATGGATTATGTAATTCAGTGAATAGGGTTCATGGCATCAGATTTCAAGTTTGTTCTGCCATATTTGGGACATCTGGGCAGAGCTAATGGCAGTGGAAATTTTTCATGTACTGAAACATTTCTGGAAGGAAATTATACTGATTTTTCACAAAGCCATATAAGCAGGTCTTCTACAATGGCCCTAAACACTAATCCTGTAGTGTAGCTAGCTGAAGATTCAGATGAATATTTACTTTTCAGTAGGAGGAAAGCAGTGATGTAGGTGGAGAAGGAGGTTATTCAAGCTCGTGTAATATTTACACCTTTCAAGGTGTTATCTAGAAGAGGAAAGTACCTCAACTGATCACGGTGTTAATTCACATTTTGACTTCCTCTCCTTTTGAATAGGTGGCCCAGGAGCACAAATCTATAAATCTTTTCTTTGAACTTAATACACCATGGAATTGGAGTTATTCTTTAATTACAGAAGTAATCCATAAAATAAAGAAAATATTCATCCTTGATTTAAGAGCTTATGCTCTTGCTTCTAAAGTCTTTAGCTTTTATTTCTTCTTGCCTGGCTCTGAAGAGTCAAGATAGAAGTTTAAATTATAGTAAATTTGAAAAGGGAGAGAAAGCAAGCCAATGCCTGAATGAGTAAGGGAATTAGGGGGACTAGTAGTAGAATATAAATCCAGTCTAAAGCTTTAATGACAGAAAATTACCTGACTGATTTGGTGGTTTATGTGAAGTAAGTTTTTAATCTCAGTTCAACTCCTGGTAGATTAGTGACTCCACCACAGAAAATACTATTCATAACTGCAGTCTCAGGAGACAGAAGCAAAGTACTGAAGTAGCTTAAAGAGTCACCTCCCATGGACATGAATAAGGGTGAGGCATGTTGTCATGTGAGGGAGGAGGGGAGAGAAAGTTAGTATTTTCCTGCCTGTGTGGTGCTTTTGGAAATGCTGAGCTGCCTAATGCCAGCTGAAGTCAAAAGGAGGTCCATGTGCCCAGAACACCAGAAAATCAGACCCCTGCATGATGAAGGCAGTATAAAACCATAGTGACGAAGCACTGGAAACAAAATAGATACCTGAGGCCAAGTTCACCAAAGAGAACATTTTTTTTCTCAGAGCTTGCAGTATGCAGCACATTCTGTTGTGACACTTTACAGCCATATTCTCATGAATTTAGCATCTAAAGCTGTATCCAGGTATGCATGGTTCCTTTGAAAATTTGGCTACTTTACTTTGCTGCCTAGATGGAAGCTGGGTTCCTTTGACAATCTGGCTGCAGGCGTAGAAATTGGTTTCATTTTCTTTTCTTTTTAGGGAAGGCAGCAATTAGGGGAAAAGAAAAACAATAAATGAGAAGAAGAAAAAAGGAGAGGGCAATCACTATTAAAGTTATGAAGTGCAGAAAATTGAAGAGGGAAGCTTATGGCATTCTTGTGCATGAAGTATGCTACCTGCAATCTATGCATGCACTTAGTCGTGATTTACTTTGGAAGGCTTGTTACTTTACCTCATAGACCTATTTATTAGTTTCATCTCTGAGTTAATTGTGTGCATTCAGAATAGACCCTTGAAAACTATTGCAATTTAAGGGAGAATTCATTTTTTTTTAACTTCTTTTTTTTTGGTGCTTTGCATAATGAATTTTAACTTATGGTTTTTATTATAAAAATGTGCTATTTCAACAATGAGTGATCAATAGAGTATCTTTTGTCAAGCAGTAGCATGCATTGTATACTTGACAATATCTTTCAAAAATAAAGCTTGGATTTGTCTTGCATGTGTGGTTATTAATTGCACGATGTCATCACCTTTCATGTAGCATTAACCTTTGCATCACGCTTTTACCATTCCTTTACACCCTCCTGACTAAAGGTTCTCTTGTCTCCCCTCTTGTCTTTGAGCAGCACATCTGTTTGGACTGTAAAAACAATTTCTGTCCGTTGTGTTCAAACCGGCCTGAGAGCGGTCCCCTTCTCTGCCATCTCTGTCAGCGATTCCAAGCTACAGCATTTCAGCGGGAAGAGTTGATAAAGATGAAAGTGAAGGATTTGCGAGACTATCTGGCACTCCATGAAATCTCCACAGAGACATGCCGTGAAAAGGAGGAACTGGTATTTTTGATCCTCAATCAGCAGCCAGTCATCACCCAGGAGGATAGGCTACGAATACCTCCACTTACCACTGGCACATCTGGACAGGAAGGCTTTGTTCTTTTCCCACCGCCTAGCCCAGCATCTGCTACCTCACATGATGCCTCTCCAGTGTCCACAGACCCCATCTCGAGTGCACTAACTCAGGAACATCAACAGGTATTTCTCAGTCCCCACATGGAAGCACCCTGTCCTGTACTCATTCATCCTTGTTGTTGGCTTAATTACTGGGATGCTTATTGTTTCTTATATCTTAATAAAAACTGTGCAAATAAAAATTATATGTGAAGCTTTTGTATAAAATAACCAACAGTACTTGAGCTACATTTCATTTATCTATTGTCTCCATTTGACTTTGAAATTTGAATAAATAACTCAAGACTTCCCTAGAGCATCATTAGAAACTAAAGGCACACTTCACACTTCCATTGTAACTAATGGATTTCTCTGTTAATGTTGGTCATGTTGATTGTGATGGATGGGGTATTTGCCTTTTCTCCATTAACGGAAGTTAACTTTCTTTAGATGTTCAAAGTTACTTGTGAGTCTGGTTCTAATATGCCAGATATGACGCTTCTGTCACGGTTCTAAGGTGGGCTTGAACACTGGTCGGTGTTTCAGTGAATGGTTTCATCCTAAGGTCAGCCTGGGACACTCCTTTGACTAATGGGCCATGTGGATATTTGATGTCTGTAGGGCAGAGGAATGTCTTTCTTTTCTTTCTAGCTGAAATGTTGCTAAGTTATTACAGCTACAAGCAGCTGTTGGGGAAGGCCATTATTCTCTTTCTCCTTATTTTCTGAGCCATGAAGCAATCAAACATGTGATCTTGGAGATGATACAGCTGAGGGAAGTCTCCTAGTGTCTGGTCAATGATTGATCTGAGCATAGAAAAAGCTTTGATTGAAGCCACAGTGTGTTACTAGTCTCTGATCCAGATACTGCCCAAAACTATCTGGCTGCACTCTTTCTTTCAGAGTGAATTTATAGTCCAGTTACTTTACTTTGACATGCTTTGTCTGTCTTTTTAGTGACTACTGTGCAAAGCCTACTTAATGCTTGACATCTACTTTAGGTCTTTCTGTAATTAAGTGAATGGGTGTGCCCAGTTCTGCAGGGGCCAGGACTGGGAAAGTGCCCCCTCGTGCTTTCTCTGTTGTCTGTTTTGTATAGAAGTGCATGGTAATTCCTCCAGGTTTCTTTTACATACAATGAGAGAGGCTTTTTTTATTCCGTTGGAAGTAGCGCATTGCACCAGTTTGTGCCTTTGTGCTCTAACTTTTCTGCAGAAAATATTTCAGCTGCTTTTCTCAGTTTCCATTTCCTCTTTTGGGAATTCTTAGGCTTTCAAAACCCCTTTGATTTTCCTAGTGTTTCACAAATATAAATAAACCGTAGCTTTCTTCAGTAGGAAGGAGAATATTGTCTCAACAGAGAAACTGAGGCAGTGACCAAATATCATACCCAAAGTCACAGAGAGGAATTAGTGGAAGCTGGGATTACAATTCAGTTTCTTTTACCCTGTGCAGTGTTCAAAAATGTTACTTTCCCTCTAACCTGCTTTAGCTGCTTTTGTCTGCTGCTCCTTAGCTAGCCCCATCTCAGCCTCTCACCCTTACCTGCCTGCACAGAGCTCATCCACTAGGAAAGATCCAAGGCAGCTTGCCTGGTGGCTAACCCAAATGTGAACGGTGTTCCGGGGGAGGAGGAGGAGGAGAAAAGATCCATCTCTTGCTTAGTTTCCAATCCAGTGCTAGCACTGGCACAAGAAGAGCACTGTGCTTCTCTCTGGTCATTGCTCAGATTAGTTACTCAGTCACGGTGAACTACATCATTGACTGGTCTCAAAGAGCTACACAGCACTTACTCTTGACATGCTGTAGAGATTGTGACATCATGATGTCACATTGCTCCACAGTTTTTCATTGTGATGTGGCATCAATGCCAAGTTTCCACGTAATGATTTTCTGATCACTCTGAACCTCCATTTTTGAGTCATTACTCTATTGGTTTCCGCCCTGTCTGGCTCCATAAACCCCACAAGAACATGTGGGGGATTATTGTACATCATCCAGTATTGTAACAAGACTCAGCTGACAAGGTGGGGCATCCAACAGCCACATACACCATGACAGTTTCTCACTGAGATGTTGTTTATACCTCACGTCTGTGATCAGGGGGACTTTCTTTCTTCCAACCTGGCTCCTTTTTGGCCTTGCACCGAGTTGCCTAATTCCACAGTGCAGCGCGTGCTGAATTGTGCTTTGCTGTTAAACCCACTTGCCCTCTAGACATGCAAGGAGATCTAGTATTGGTGAAAGATGTATTTCCTCTTTTAGGCAAATGGGTATGTGCCTCCAAGCCAAGACGACATGACAGGAATTGAGAATGCAGGAGAAGCACCAACAGAGGAGGAGACACAGGTTTGTATGTGCTAGAATTGCACAGAGATGGGGGTGGATTCTGTTGAGTTGTTTTAGTCCATTACTCAGCAAGTATAGAATTGTGACCATGTAATAAGATAGCAAAATAGCTATCATAATAGAGTCACCAGAAAACTTGTCTTTATGCAGAGAGGAACAGGATGTCCCTACAGGCAGAGAACTTTGTGTCACTGGACACTAAGAGCACTTTTACATGTGCTCCAGGGGTTGTGGGGGTGGGATGGCACTTTAAGTAGAGTGGCTCAAAGAGCCACTCTAATTAGAGTGCTGCTGTGTCTCCTGTATCAGCAGCCCTGCGCTTAAAATTGGCAGTGGGGGCACTTGAACTGAAGCTTGTTCAACAAGCTTTAGTTCAAATGCCCCCACCACCATTTATTAAGCGTGGGGACACAGGAGGCTGCTGGACTGTGGCAATTGCCATGCTCCCGCAGACTCGATTAATTGAATCTACTCCGATGCACTGGAATTCCAGAGCATTGGAGCACACTCTGTGCTCGTGTATAGGCGCCCTAAAACAATAAAAGGAACTTACATATCAGAGTAGAATTTATTTCTTATAACTAGAGGGATTCATGGAATAAAGTACATGAGGGATAGTATACCTCCATGGATGAGTATTGGCTAGGAAAGTATTGAGAGCTGCTTTAAATTGTCATGATATTGTGACTGCTGACAGACATGAAAAAAAACCCAACACTTTACTTTCAGCTTGGTGTTCCCACCATGATGAGCACAGTGTATGCCCAGAAGAAGCATCACATTTGTTTGACCCGGCTTGCCCAATGTCTGTATAGATTGGGCACTTCATCAGGGGGGTTGGAGCTTTTATCTAAAAGCTGATTCCATCAGGATGATGCACCGCCTGATCTATACAGGGGCTGGGAAGCTGGGTCAAACTGGTGCACTTCCTTTGCTGGTAAAGCATTTTTGTTTCTTCACATATGTTGGTGGCCTGCGAAACCAAACATTGTCCTGTCTTCGTTCTGTTTTAGTCTGTTGACTCGGAGGATAACCTGATGCAGGGACGGAGGGCCTCTCTCTCTGACCTGACAAGCATCGAAGACATTGACATGCTTTCTGTAAGACAGCTAAAAGAAATTCTTGCTCGCAACTTTGTCAACTATAAAGGCTGCTGTGAGAAGTGGGAACTGATGGAAAGAGTGACTCGCCTTTACAGAGAGAGAGACCTTCAGCATCTGGGTAAGGTGGAAGAGTCGTCAGTTTTACAAGCTGCTTCAACACTCAGTAGAAGGCAGCAGGTCAAAGGGAACAGTTTTCCTATCTGTTCATTGCCAATGAGAGAATCAGATCAGGAAGAAGACAACATCATGTTGCTAAACTATATTTACTATTGCTCGTGCCTGTTGACCTGAGCATTAATGTTGTTTGGATCTGTAAAGTGACTGCTCCATTGTGCAACAGCAGGGCTTCTTGCTTTTCTTATGGCTGCAGAGCACATGCAGCTATGTTAGACTGAAGTCTTCTTGTCTCTCATTAACTGATTTGTGGACTGAGTGCCAACAAGGTGCGCCTATATGTATCATGACAGTAAAGGGGTTGCATAGGTTATTGTTGAGAGGTGAACTGGAAGACAGTGGAATGATGTAGATATTCATGCAGGTGTAATTAAGCCTGCAGGAAAGAACCCAGCTAGACTCTTAGATCTCAAGTGAAGTTTCAAGGGTGGAGTTAAAAAACAGCTATTTACTTACAAAATGAGCATACAGAATATCACTTTCAAGATAAGAAACCTGTTTTAACTTGCTGAGTTTTTCTAATCATCCTCTAAAGCTTCACATGGAGTACTGTCTCCAGTTTTGGTCCCCACACTTTAAGAAGGATGTGGCCAGATTGGAAAGAGGCCAGCACAGAGCAACGAAAATAATTAGAGTGCTGGGAAGCATGACTTATCAGGAAAGGCTGGAAGAACTGGAGTTATTTAGTCTGGAGAAGAGAAGACTGAGGAGGGATTTGATACCAGTCTTCAAATACCTATAATATCTCAACAGTTTTCAGTGAAACTGGGACTTAGGTCTGCCAAAAACTACTTATTTGACTAAATCTCAAAATAACAGCCCATATACATTTAAGATGGTCATGCTTTGTAACATCCTAACTATATATGTTCAATGAAAGGAAAAATGTCTTAATAATCTAACCAAATAATAGCTACTCCACACCAGTTGCCCTCACCTTTCCAAAAATGTACCATGTTGGATTTACAAAATGAAAAGCCAAAAGACTCGAAGCAAGCCATCTCCTAGGGAAAGGGTGGGCAAAATACTGCCTGTGGGCTGCATCCATCCCACCAGGAAATTTCATCCGGCCCATGGGCACCCATCAGTTAATTATATCTGACCTGGTCCATGGCTGCCCCTGCTGCACTCCACGTGGGGTCAAGCCCCACCTCCTCCTACTGAGGCAATGTGCTGTGCTCCCACCCTTGCCCGCAAGAGGGCTCCAGCCCCGGCCAGTGCTCTCAGCTTCTGGGCAGAGCTCCTGTTGTCCTTGCTGCAGCCACCCAGGGAACTGCTCGGCTCCCCTGCTCTCCAGTGGTTCCTCCTGTCACTGCTGCAGTACTATGGGCAACAGGTAGGGAAGCAGCAGTGGGCAGGAGTCCAGAGCACGAGGCCCGCACCTGGTGGGGCAGTGAGAGTGCGGAGCCCAGGTCAGCGGGAACGTGAAGCCTGGGCCAGCTTTGTTCCATTGTGTATGGCTTCCTGCAGCTCACATGCAACTCCCAGGACTCGTGCCACTGGGGGAAGCCGTGTGCGATGGAGGCAGGCAGACTCGGCCCTGCTCCCTGCTGCCTTGGCCAAGTCCCAGGAACTGCACGTGGGGCCAGGCTGCCAGCTCCATCATGTAGGGCTCTCCCCCAGTAGCGCATGGCTCTGGTCAAGTCCCAGCAGCTGCACATGAGCCGCAGCGAGCCTGCACGATGAAGCAGGGCTGGCCTGGCCCTGCTCCTTGCTGCCACATGCAGCTCCTGGGACTTGGCTGGTGTCATGTGCTGCTATGGGGCCCCTCCTGTGCGGGCCATGAGCATCCTGAGGGCTTGCTGCCTGCTGCTGCCGCTGGCAGAGGGGGCTGTGCACCATGGGTGGGGGGGGCGTACACATACCTCACCATACCCACACCCTGCACACACACACACAACCACATCCCCCAAACGCCATGCCTTGCCACCCCCGATAAACCCCACACCCACCCACCCGCACACATCCACCCACCCTCCAACCACATCCCACACATAGTATACAAAAGTAAGATTTTATTTTTAGTTATTATGCAGTTGTCTCTACACTACACTGTGCACTACTCTACACTATGCAAACACACATAAATGAGGACAAGAATATTTTTTAAAATAAAATTTAAATGGTATAGTAGATGTTTGACTTTTAGTATATGAGTTGGGTTTTTTTCTGGTTCCAAGATGGCAACCCCCCCTCCCCATCCCAAAAGGAGTACTTCTGGGGGCAAGGAGAGGGACTTCCAGTAGCAAAGGTCAGGGGTTAGAGGGTGGGATTTCCAGTCCCAAGCTGGTGACCACATTGTGGCTGTCAACAGCTCACCAAAATTCATTAAGTGGCCCTCCAGCCAAAATAATTGCCCACCCCTCTGCTAGGATGTTTCTGTTTATTGCACAAAATAATGCAACTTCTCTCTCTTTTCCCCTCCTGTATGCAGTTTCTGACACTGGTGATCAAAATGGTAAGTGGTGTTGATTCTCAAAATGTTAGCTCTGTAGAAAAATTCTCAGCACTAGGAGTTGTTGCATGCTGTAATATAGAAAAGCTTTTGTTCTAGGCAAAAATTTCCAGCTCCCTGCCAGACAAGCAGTCTCACATGGCACTGGTGCAAGTGTAGGATCAGGATTACTCAGATTCCAGTTATGCTTACACATTATTTGCAGAAGATGATGCTTCTTAACATTGGCAATTATGCATAATTTGATATTGAAGTCAGTAATAAAGTTTGTATTCTCTGACCCACGTACTCTTGTCCTTAACACCATGATGCATTTTCCTCAAGTCTGATACTTGCCTTTTAATCTTTAGCTTGTTCAGGTAACACTGGGCTTCCTGGTGCTGAAGAGAATCTCTGCAAAATCTGCATGGATTCACCAATTGACTGTGTCCTGCTAGAATGTGGCCATATGGTCACTTGTACCAAGTGTGGGAAGCGTATGAATGAGTGTCCCATCTGCCGGCAGTACGTGATAAGAGCTGTCCATGTCTTCAAGTCCTGAGTGAAAGCAAGTAAGACCAGTGTTGCCTTAAAGCCTCATGTGCTGTTAGAGAAATGGTTAAAATCTCTACACATAGTTGAAGGTCCAAGACTAGCGCTCAGACCTCACAGGAAGTCTGAAGTTCGAGAGGTGAGGCAAGAGGAAGCTTGGGAAATTTTCCATATTGAAGCCGTGATTGGATGCGTCCTTCCCACCACATTGTTATACACCACAGTGCCTGGACTCCTTGGAGCCTAATAACAGCATCAGACACAGAAATAACTAACAGCCTGTGAGAGCAGCTTGATCAACTGGTGATGGGGGATAAACAGTCACTGGCTTCCCAACACAAAGACCAGATTCTGAGGCTTGTTATTTCCTCTGCAAATAATAAATGAGGACTGAGATCTCCACACACAACAGGTTTTTTTTGTTTTGTTTTGCTGCTATTGAATGTTCCCGTTCTGCTTCTCTTATTCACTTGCTCTGTGAATCACCTCCAGTGATATTTTATTTTCAGGGAACACAATCTTGGTTGAGCTTGTTCCTTGTTTTGAACATATAACTTTATTTTAAGCTCTAGTTTCTAATGCTTGCAGGCCAGGCTGAATGTTGCCCCCCTCTCTGTTACCTTCTTCCTATTCCAAATGTGTTTAATTCTAGCTCAGCGGAATCGAGAAGTGCCTGCTCTGCTTTAATGTGGAAAGGTGGCAGGAAAGCTTCAGTGTTTAAGAAATTAAATATTCTGTGTAAGACAGCAAAGAGGCACAACATCTCACCTGGCTTCTTGCACACCTGAATCCAGTGTTTTGTCTTGGATGCAAGTTCCTATGTTTTGTCCTATGTTGGTTCCTTTGTAGAAGACCTGAGAGTAGTACCTTGCCTACATGGTAACTGAACTGATTCTTAGTTATCTTAGGCACCAACTTGCCCAGTGTATGCACTGCCTGAGCACAAGTGGAAAAAAATCCACCTTCCCCTGGCATAGGGATTTTTTTCTAACATTGTAATCACATGAAGCCCTGGACAATGTATTTCTGCACATCTCATACAGTGTAGAGATGAATCTGTCAAAGTGATGCCGAAATAAGGAAAGTGTAGGGAGACGTTCTCCCTGCCTTAGGAACGTTCCCCTTACTGCTTTCTTTTAATTTCTTGTTGTCTGTTGCTTCCAGTTAAAGTGATTAGCACTGCCTAGCCTCCTTTGCTTTCTCCTTCATCTCCCTCTTAGCCACAGGATACCAGTTCACTCTATTCCACCATTCTCAAGTGCTGTCAAATATAGAGATGTTTTTTTGAATGGCACAAGATAACTTCTCCCTTGGTAATGGAAGGGCTATAGCATCATTCAAATATACTTCTTTGACAATCCCAAGTTTCTGAAAACAACTGCAGTTTGGAAAGCCCTTGTGAATCCATACTGAATTGCATTGTGGGTTTCACCCACACTCGCTATGAAGTTAAAAAATGGTCTTACAAGGTATGTCTTGGGAATATGCCATTCATTACTGGTTGGCAGCAAAATAGGAGCTTTCAGAATAATCCAGTACTAATGCCTTAAATAACTTTTCTCCCCAGCAGTTATGGGCACACTGGTGTCTTATTCCAAAAGGCCACCTGGGCCATTTAGGATTTAACTTTGCTTCAGGATATTTATCTTGCGTGTAGCAGCAGAGTTTATCAGTGAAGTCTGTCTCAAATTTTCCTGAATTGTGAATGTAAGAACATCAGTATTCAGAGAGAGAGAGAGAGTGTGTGCATGTATTCATTCCCAGCCTCTACAACACTCAAGATATACTTAAAAGAAGCCTCTATTGCAGATCCATGCATGTTTGCAATAACAGCTGGCAATATATGTTATCAGATGTCTAACTATGCAAATTCATTTAACACTGCTGTACATCAGCAGCACTGCCTCCACTCCAGTAAATGCATGGATTTGGAGGGTCTCTTCAGTTTAGAATAAGGAAAAACTAGTTCTTGGTTAGTAGCTATACATACATACCGTAGTCTAGCTATAAAGAAATTTGAGGCTGCAGTTTATGCAACATCTATGTTAGATGGTGTTTTTGGATTATACAGAAACCAGAATGATGAATCATGTAAAGAATGGACAGGCTCCTTCCTACCTGAGTGTCTATGGTGAATATGCCAGTTGTAGCTTTACCCTTCTTTCTCTTCCTTGCTGCTACTTCTGGATATTCTGCAATTTCTGACTCAGTGCTCTAGCAGACTACCAGGCACTCCTCTGTTTCCAGCTACTAAATTGTATTACATTAAAGATGCATGATTTTCCTAGCAGTTTTTCAACGTAAACCATTACTGTCGTCATTGCCACTGAAGAGGGTTTCTATGGCAGTTTCCAAAATGCATGGACTGTACTTACTGAGAGGCTTGAAAACTTCTGATCTAGCAAATGCACTGTGAAAATATTATGTGTAATCATGTTTAGCAATAAGCTCAGGACAGGGGCCTTGGCAAAAGGAATATTTCCCCTATGAATACATATGTTTCATCTACTCTCTACAAGCCATTCTAAGGCTACTATGCCTATTTTTCTACAACAGATAAGCCAACTTGCAGATCAGTGGAAAAAATGTTATTAGGAATGAGGTAATTGCGTGCAGCTTGCTTTCCTAATACGTATACTGAAACTAATTTCCATTCTTTCCTCCTTTGCAGAAATGGATTATTTAGTGTGAGGCAGTATGACAACTCACTTTAAAATAAATTCGAACTTAAAAAAATCCAGAGGAAGCAGATTCATAACCCAAAAGAATATATACTGATCAAAAACTAATAAAGATAAAAGTGTATGAAAATATTTAAGTGCTTTATGTACAATATGCACATTTGTTTAAAATATTTTGAAAATTAATGTTCTATTTGAAATGGTTTCTATTACATTTTTCTTTCATTCAAAAATTGTGGTGGGTACAAAGGTTAAATAAAACCTAACTAGTTTTGGTACAGAGTTCTGGTTTATAATTTTATAATAAAGTTGAAATTTAATTTAGACAACTACTTAGGTTCTGAGTGTTTCTCTCTTGGGAGCAGGGGTAGGTAGCAGGAGCTAAACACCTGTCACTGAATCTGAAGGAGTAGAATAAGCGCCCTCCCCCCCCAGAAAACAACTTCCAAGGATTTCAGCTGCTTAGCTATCGCCAGTGAATGAGGTAAAACTGAAGTTCTGTTTTCCTCATGTGTTTTACCTAATCTGTTAGTCATGTTTATGCAACTGGAATCCTGTATGTGTTTGCTTATTTCTAGATCCTCTCCCCTCTTCAGAGCTACTTTTTCCTCTGAAAAGAAAATGTGAGAAAAGATCAACTTTCAGCAGTGCAATTTAGTAATTTTGTAAGGCGTTATAGAAAACACGGCCCTTTTTATAGCCCTCAAGGCTACATGGTGTTGATAGTGCTCAGCCCCAACTGACATCAGCCAAAGTAGAGGGTACATGGTACAGTCAGGTCCCTTGACTTCTATATTACATGTTTGAGAAAGGGGCATCAATACTGAGAAATATCACTGACATGATACCAATATGCATACCTCATGCATAAAAAATATTCTCTTTAAAAGAGAGAGAATTTAGAATAAAAACACATTTCAGTAGACATCACAGTTGAGTAATTTTGAATGGTTTGGATTAGATTCTAACAAGTTTGTTAGAATAGGAATCCTATTTCCTTAAAATTACTCCATAAGGTTAGTATGTAATGGCAGGTAATTTAACATACCCTACATCTGAGTGTGAGTAGAAGCAGCAAATGCTATCATCTGGTGAAAAAAATCCCAAAGAAACCCAATCAAACCTCCTGGCTTACAACCAGGACACATGCTGACCCTTTGAGGGAGAGCTTGGTTCTTTATCACCCATGAAAATACCAGATACTTCAAAGTTTTGTGTAATCACTGCTTCACTTCAGGCAGAAAAGCTCCCTGAAAGGTAGAAAGTAGCAAATCCTACAACATGCTACTGAGTGTGGATTAAGTTTAAGAAACCACTATGCCAGAGCACTTGGCTTCATCATGGAGAGGACAAATCTATCTAGTTGGAGGCACTGACTTGTGAAGCAGGTTTAATGGAATAGGTGGGGAGAGGGAGGCAGGTGTCCAACAGTTTATAAATGCTTCCACCTGGTTTTCTTTTGAGCAATGAGCTCATGTAAACTTGTTAGTGAAAAACTACAATTTTCATAATGGTACTTGGTTTAACTGGGTCCTACTTATGAACCAGTCTAGTTATGGACTATTCTTCCTTTGCAGAAGGACTAGCTGCCTCCATACAGAGAAACCAAATGGCTGTAACTTCTCAAAAAAACCCCAAAACACCTGCGCTGCTCTTATTCCAGCACCCATAGAAGGAAAGGAATTGGTGCTGTGACAGCTCTTCAGACTCGGATAATTAACAACTGTTCTGGATGTACACAGCAGGCCTGTAGGAGATGCAGTAAACTGTTCCCATAACAAAATTACAGCAACCTTTATGCCCAGCAATGAGCTGACAAGGTTGTATAATTCTCCCTTGTTACAAATCCTGCACTCACAGGGAGCTGATTTCTACTACTACTTCCTAGATGAGGGCAAGTACTTCCCTCTTTGCATTCACCTTTAAAGCAACCACAGACCCTCATTGACAGCACACTAAATTGCTGCCAGCCTGCTATGCAGAACAGATTCAAAAACTGCTATAGCCAGCTGCACGTCATCTCCCCTGCAATCCTCCAATGAGATAATGCATTCAAAGAGAGGTAACAGAAGCTTTTGCATGAGGGGAAAAAGTGATCTTCAGCAATAGCTGTGATAAAGGAATAGAAAAAGTGAATCAGACTGATATCCCTTAGAAATATTAAGGGTACAGAAAACACCTAGGGCTCCTTGCAATAGAGCATTTCAATTGCCATGGAAGCTGGAGGTCTGCCTGTATCCTAGTCCAGCTTTTGCAAGAGGTAGTTTAGAACTTACAGCAAGTTTAGAAGCAAGCACTTTGAACTCAAACTCTTATCAAGGTTATCAATCCCCCACTATTACCTTAGGCAGACAAGGTTCCTTGGGTGAATTTGATATCTTTTATTAGACCAACCCAAATGGTTGGGGAATAGTTATTAAGCAAGCTTTCGGGTTCAAAAACCCTTTGTCAGACTAAGGAAGTTTCAGCAGTTGGTGTGTGCTCTTCCTGGATGGAATGAATTTTCCATCCAGGAAGAGCACACACCAACTGCTGAAACTTCCTTAGTCTGACAAAGGGTTTTTGAACCCGAAAGCTTGCTTAATAACTATTCCCCAACCAGTTGGGTTGGTCTAATAAAAGATATCAAATTCACCCAAGGAACCTTGTCTGCCTATGTCCTTAGACCAACACAGCTACAACCTAAACCCCTGCCACTATTACCTTTGTATTTTTCTGTAACATTCTCTTATATGTGAGCCTGGGAATAAAATAGAGTCACTGAAGGTCATTGCTTTAGGACAGTCTTCAGCAAATTCAGACTGAAATGTTGGCAGTTTCCCAGATAGGTTCTATACAGAGGTGCACTGATGCATCAGTCCGATATCGGATCGGCACTGATATAAAGAAAATTGGCTGCATTGGAAATTGGCCTGAAATGGCTGATAAATGCCCGTGCATGCATGCAGCCACACTGCAACACACAGGCATCGAGGAGCAGAGCCCAGCTGTGTGCAGCTGGTAAGTCTGTTTGGGAATGGCTGATAAATGCCCGTGCATGCATGCAGCCACACTGCAACACACAGGCATCGAGGAGCAGAGCCCAGCTGTGTGCAGCTGGTAAGTCTGTTTGGGTGGAAGGGGTGGGGGGGCAGATCAATACCTCCTGCAGTGAGGGAGGGAGGGAGGGGGCAGAGGCAGGCACTACATGCACCCCAGGAGGGCATGGGGTGGGGTATTTGCCCCTGGATCTGCATGGGGCACGGCAGGTGGGCTGCAGCTGGAGGCTAGAGCCAGGGCTGCGCCAGGCTCTTCTTGACAGGGGTGCTGGGAGTGGGGCTACTGAGGGGGCTGCAGCTACCCCAACTTTCACTGTAGCCTCCACTCTACAGCTGCTCCCAGCACTACTGCTGCCCACCCAGTGCAGCACCAGCTCTTCCTGGCATGTGGGTGGAGATAGGGTGAAGCAGGGCTGCACCGGGCAGGCGGCAGCAGCACTGGGAGTGGCATTATGGCCAAATTTGGGGTGGCTGCAGCCCCCTCCATAGTCCCCCTGCCAAGAAGAGCTTGATGCAGCCCACCTGCCCCACCTCCCCATGCCCTCCCTGGGGTGCATGCAGCAGTGGGAGCTGGTCCCCCCACAAGCCATGGCTCTGTTCTGCACCCTGGCCTGCCCCACCCTGGCTCGGTAGCACCTGCCCCCTCCCTCATCATGGGGGGCATTGATCTGCCCCCCACCATGCCCCTTCCACAACAGACTTACCAGCTGCACACGGCTGTATCAGGAATTCGATGGATATCGGCTGATATGCCTGTTTAAATAATGGTATTGGCCCCCAAAATTTATATTATGCACCCCTACTTCTATAATATCCGTATTCAAGTACTTACATAGGCCAACTCTCAGGCTTCGGAATGCAGGATTAAGCAACAGCAAATATTCCTGAAGACACTGAATAGGATTAATCTTTACTAACCTTTCATAATTCCAAAAGAATGCCAGGATACCACTCTGGAACTTATTTAATAGAAACTTATTTGCCCCAGTTTTAAAATGGAACTCCTGCAAAGGGTGCAAACTGTTTCTGGATGGTCATCTGATGGACCAACTGTTTAAAAAGTTAGGACAGCAAGTCAAAATGAGAGGGGTTAAAATACTAAGCTGTATAAAGGGTAGGCCTGTGCAAAGCACCACGTATTTGGTTTAGGATTCAGATTTGGTCAATTCGGAGGGACAGTGATTCGATTCAGCCAATTCGGAGATTCTGCCATAGACTATACAGGCAGTCCTCGATGACACTGGACATTGCTGCCTCCAGCTGGTAAGTCTGTTGTGGTGGGCGGTGAGGTTCCTTCTAAGCTGCATGCGTGCACAGCCGTGCACAGTAAAAAATCTTGCCGTGCAGTAACTTTTTAATGCCATGCACTGGGACTGGTGCGGGACACTTACTGCTCAGCTGCACAGGGGCTGGGCCACGCCACTCCGCTCCACTCACCAGGCCAGCATTCCCACGGGAAGGAGAGCGTAGTCCCGGCCAGGCTGCTGATCAGTGGGCAATCATTGCCTCCACCCTTTCCTCCTCCATGCCGGCAGTGTGGGGCAGGCAGTGGCTCCTCCCCAAGGCAAGGCAGGGGCTAAGCTAGGCACCACCCAGGCTCCAGGGACCTGCTCCGCTCCCCAGCCCCTTCGGGCAAGTTTCGTCCGGAGCTCCACCAGCTTCGCCCTAATCTTAGTTTTCATCCCTGTGCTGCAAACCCCACAGCTTCTGCGCCAAAACCTGGCAGCCCCACGGGTCTTCCATGCTCTGCCTGCTCCCTGCCTCTGCACCTCGCTGCAGCCTTTGAAACTGATGCCATGTGTCTCGCTGCCTGAGCTGTCCAGCGGCGGGATGCACGTGGCGCCACGCCCCTTTCAAAGGCTGCAACAAGGCACAGAGGTGGGGAGCAGGCAGAGTGCAACCTGCATGTGGATCTAAGAGACATGACAGGGAGGTACACACACTTCATGTAACAAAGGTGCTGAAGACAAAGTCAGCTCTTTGGTAACTAAAGACAGAGTACTCAAATGCTTGCCCAGTTTTAAGTATTAATTAAGCCTTAATCTTGACCACAGAGACATGATTAAAAGGTAGCATGTGGGTAGTACAGCTAGTTTCTTCTATTATTTACAATAATGCAAATTAAAAGCAGAATTGAGCCTTTACAGAAAAACATCTAACAAAATAATAGACTGAGACTAATATTATGAATGCATCTGGTACACAGTGTAATATTAAATATTAAAGGGGGAGGAGGGACCAATTCGGGAATGGACCAAAGCAGCGTGCTCGCGGATTGCTACACCTTTGAAGGAACACTGGTGGGTGGAGGTGGGCAGATCAATGCCCCAGAGCAATGGAGGGATTGTGGTTGGGACAAGCTACCCAGCCGGGGTGGAGAGATGGAGGACTCTGGGAGGGGGGCGCCCTCCACTGCACGCTGCTGGTCTGAGAGCTGCTTTTCTGATGGCTCCTCCAGCAGCTCTCGCTGCTGGTCTGGGAGGGGATGGGAGCAGGCGTGTGCCCCTGGATCTGCACGGGGCAGGCTGGGTTGGGCTGCGCTCCAGGATGCTAGCCCCAGCCACCCGCTGCAGGGCTGCACTCAACAGGGTGGGTAGAGCCAGGGCTGTGCTCCAGGTGGCAAGCCCCCGCTGCCAGGTTGTGCTCTGGGGCTAGCCACCTGGAGCACAGCTCTGGCTTCACCCACCCTGCAAAGCACAGCCTTGGGGTGGGCAGCTGGGGCTAGCCTCCTGGAACACAGCCCACCCCGTGCAGATGGAGGGGAACATGCCCACTCCCACACCCTGCCAGACTGGTGGCAAGAATTGCTGGAGGAGCCACCAGAAAAGCAGCTCCCAGACGGGTGGTGCGCAGTGGCGGGAGCCCCCCTCCCTGAGTCCCATGCCCCCCCACCCTAGCTGGGCAGCTTGCCCCAGCCAATCCCTCCCTCCCTCCCTGTGGAGGCATTCATTGATCTGTAGGGCTGCGCGAAACAGCACCATTCCATTTCGACTTGCATTTTGATGTTTTGACAGAACAGCATTTCGTTTCGATTCGAAACTGCTGTTCGGTTTCATCAAAACAGTTTTGCTGTTTTGACATGTCGTCCATAGACTAGAATGTGGAAGCTTGAAACAGCCTATAACTTTGTCATTTCTGGCCTGATTTAGATGAAACTTGCATAAGTGCTAGGCCCTGCTGAAGGCATGATGCCTGCCATGTTTCAGGGAGACAGGTACAGGGGTTTCAGGGAAACTGCACCTCAAAGTCTTGAAAGCAAAACTCATGTCATGTGTATGTGTTAAGCCACAGCTGGGTTAAAACTGCAGCCATGATAGCCCCTGCTGAGGCCACAAAGCCTGCCAGCTTTCAAGGAGATAGGTGGAGGGGCTTCCGGGTTCTGGGGCCCTGCACCTTTGGCTGTAGACGGGCAAAACTCATGACATGGGTGCTTGTGGGACTGTTGGTCTTGGGGCACAGGGGGTAAAAAGTGCAGGTGTGCTAGGCCCTGCTGTGGGCATGAAGCCTGCCAAGTGTCAAGGAGATTGGTGCAGGGCTTCTGGGGCCCTGCACCTCTAGCTGCTGCCAGGCAAAACTCATGACTTGTATGTGTGTGTACGTGTGTTTTAAGGTGCACCAACGCAGAAAGCATGGCAGTTCAAACAATGCTGCCTTTTATGCAGTTTTTCCATTCCTCCCCGAGCTCTGGGACTGGAAAGGACCTCAGGGAAGGATCACAGTCACTGGCCAGCTACACAGTCAATAATGAGAGCACTCCTCCCTGACCCTTCTCCTTATTTTAGCTTCTGTTTCCCTGCAGACAAGCCCAGCTTGAGCTTCAAAACATTTCAAAAATTTTGAAATGTTGCGACTTGCCTTGTTTTGTTTCGAAGCTCTGTTTCATTTTGATTTCACTGTTTCGAGCTTGAAACGAGTCAAAACAAAACTGCTAGTGAAATTTTACACAGCCCTACTGATCTGCCCCCACCAACAGCTGCCTCCAGCTGGTAAGTCTGTGTCCTGCCTGTATAATCTATGGGTGAATTGATTCAGAGGCTTCCGATCCAATTTGGACCTTTTAATGGGTCTCCCGGTTTGATTCAGATTCAGAGAGTCACCCACTGAATCTCCTCCAAATCAAATCAGCTACTGAAGCTTCACACAGCCCTCATAAAAGGGGCACAACATTTAGCCTCACCTTCTTCTGCTTGATTTATAGCAGTGCAGTAAGTACACGCTGGTAATACATCTCTGGTGAGTTGTACATAGGGCCAAGAATCTATTTTCCATTTGGATACAAAGCAACTCTGAGAAACTTTATGCCTTTACAGTAAGAGGAGACACTGCAGAGTTTTATTTATGTTTTATTTATAAAAATACCCAAACTTTAAAAAAAACAAACAAACCAGGAGATGAAACCAGCACCTAGATAAAATGGACTGGGAGAAATGATGGGCAGGAGACAAACAGATTTTAATGGTGCCACCCTGTAGGGAGTGCATTCCAGCTGGCACCGATAAAAATCAGTGTCACTGCTACAGATCCTGAGAGCCCAGCTTTGAGGAACTCTGGGTGTTATACAGGGTGGTTGGTAGAAAGAACAAGGAATCTGCATTTATTCCACCTACCTAGTCTCTGTTGTTTCCTGAGGGCATTCCCTACTTAAGCACAGCAAAGCCAACCAAGTCAGCTGCCTTGCATTTTTAGCAGGGGGCTACCAGTCTCCGCTTGCGGATACACTCCCAGATCCAACTGGGTGACACACGCTTAGCTCCAGGGTTCTCCTCAAGGTCCCCTATCACATGTGTTGCAGAAGCCGTATCAAACTCTTGTACAAGGTCCCCATCATATGCCACAAAGTACCGCCGGATTTTGCTGAAGTTCTCCACGGAGGGTGGTAGGTACAGCCTCACCCCTGTAAATATGTCCAGCAATATCTGCAAATTTGGGAGGGGGGGGAAGGGGAAGAGAAGAAACAAGGGCTGATAAAAGATTTGACTAGTCAGGAAACTTCCCTAGAAACTATGCTCTGAAGGACACAGGCTCATTCTGTGCATTTGACAGGATCTAGGACAATACAGCTGAAAGGGCCCTTGTGTTCTCCTGCAACACAAATGATGATGCAGCTTTTTTAACAACAGCTTTGAGAACACAGATCAATTTTGTTCAAAACCAAAAATGTTCTATTAAAGCTAAAAAAACCCCTGTTCTTTCCAGCAGGGCCACCAATTTAGATCCAACACCTTAAGGCTGCTTACAGACATAACCCCCCGACAAAAAACTGCTTTACTTTAAACTCTGTTCACCCCCACACTGAACCCAAGGGGCATTGCATTATTTTGATCTGACTCACCCAATGTCTGTATAGATTGGGTGCTTCAGTGGGGCTTTTTTGGCACTTTTACCTAATAGCTGATTGAATCTACTTTAGATAAAGGCACCAAAAAGCCCCACTGAAGCACACAATCTACACAGACACTGCAGAGCCAGGTCAAACTAACATGCTGCTTCTTTCAGTAAAGCTCAGTTTATTTGTTTCTTTCCCCATGTCTGTCAGCAGCCTAAATGGCTTGCTGCAAGACTAGCCGAATGGGGAGTATGTTGGGGAAAGCAAGCCAACTCCCATCTGCGCAGACACATGCTGCCACAATGCAGCCAAAAAGTGCAGATGGGCACAACAGACTTCTAGTGGTGGAGGAGCTGATGATGCTGCAGGCAGAGCAAAGACAGCCAAAACAATTTAGCTCTTACCAGCATCATTCTCCTGTTGAGACTTTCTCCCAGGATGTCCCTGTACTGACACCAAACTGAAAAAGGACCGACCCCACCCTGCCCGAGACCCCTATCTGTTTTTCCCCATAGTTTAAAGCCCAAGCCCCTAAAGCAGAGAGTCCTGTGACCCAGTGACTAAAGACAGGACTGCAAGCCAAGAGGATATCCTAATCCCATACCTGATGTTTGTAAATTACTCAGTCTTTGGGCTTCAGTTGATCCATCAGCCAGGGGACAACACACACTTCCTCTTGTGAAAGTCAGAGGCTGCCACTGAACTGTTTTCTTAGCCAGGCAGGAAAGGGCCACTGTATTAGCCCTAACTACTACCTCTAGGCCTGGTGGTCACATGGCTCAGCAAGCAAAACAGCTTCTGTTAAGATGCCCAGAGGGAGTTGACTTTTCTCAGTTAAATCACGTAATCTGGCAGCCCTGCAGCTGGTACTTGCTGTTTACAGCAGATAAACTACTCTAGGCCTCGCAGGAGAAACAGCCTGAAGCCCAAACCCCAGAGCTGCTCCCACTATTTTTTCAGCAATGTGTTCCCCTGACAACTCCTACACAACACAGCTATAGCATTGCCGTTTCTCCACAATATCATCTTTTCACTGGAAGTTCAAAACCTCCCCTCATGAGCTGAATGGAACTGGCTCAGTTTGCTCCATCTGACATGTTTGGAACTTTGAAGGACTTATTGCTGGTAGCACAGAGACATCCAGATCTTGCTCCTGATTTTTCATCATGTCACATTAAAGCTCCTTGTCACTTTTAGAGCTGTTAATAGCTCATTTCTCACTCTCTTCATCTCCCATCACACTACCCTTGCCCTCTGCCAGCAATGCCAGCTGTTATTTTCCCATTAGTGTGCCTGTTTTCTTCCATACTATCCCCTCTCCTTGGAATGCCTTCCCAGACTGATCTGTCAAGCTTCCACTTCCTTAAATCCCTTTTGGACCCACCTTAGGCACAGTAACCAACAGACGTTAGCCACTCAGTGAATGGTTAGACTGAAGGTCAGATTCTGTAAAAGCCAAACTCTACAGGACTCTCAAATGACTAGGAACCAACTCATTGAGCACACTGTTCTCCTAAATAACCACACGTATTACCGTATCCTCCTTCCTCCCCTGGATTCATTGTTTGTTCAAACAATACAGTTACATTGGGTAACAAACTACAACAGCCCAACAAGTTCCAATACAGGACATCAGCCAATCCTCCTTCCCTCTGCAACTGTCCATCACCTCTATACACAGCACTACATAGGTGCAGTAATGAGAGATCTGCCTTCAAAAGAACTGGCACAGGCCACTGGTAGAGTCAGGACACCAGAGAGGGACTGCGGGTTTGCACTCAGTGGTAAGCCTTGTGCTCAGCCTGTCCCTGCAGCCTGCTGCAGAAACATGAACGAGGCAGAGGCACCTGCCTGCCCTTTGAAATGTAGAGCTTGGGTTGCTGCTACTGCTTTTCCCTTTCACTCCCACTTCTAAGCCTGGCTTAAAACCAATCTAGTGGGCAAATACCAATGCTGAATTACCAAGGCACAAAAAGTGCTACATGTGCAAAAAATGCTAGCATCTGGAACAGTGCCAGACTCCTAAATGCTCTGACATGGCTTACAACCATATAGACCTGTAGACTCTCAACTAAGTCATTTTCCACAGATCCAGACATAAAGCAATGAACAGCTGGCTCGTTTGCATCAGAGAGCTGAGCTAGTACAATGAATTTTGTTTCAGTCTTTAATGAATAGCTAGCATGCTGCTAATAAGGGTGGCTGGGGGAGTCTTTAGCTTTTGCATGCACTTCTGATCTATTAGCACCTTCCCAGGTACACAGCTTGCCTGCTGCTTCTCTCCCATGTGCCTATTCTGTAAAAACAAACAAGAACTGCCATGAGCCATATATCTGATGCTGGGATCGTCCTTTATATCCAAGATTTTGTACATGCTTGGGGGTACCAGGCACCAGCTGCCCTGCAATAACTTTAAGGCCACTGTCAGACATTCAAAAGGAGGTGCAATGGGATCTGAGACAGTCCCAGCAGTTGCGCCTCCTGCCATGCCCCACATGCATGGCAGGAGGCGAGACTAGGATTGAGCATCAGATCCCATCACCATATTGCTGGTGCAGGGGGAGCCCAGGACCATGATCCAGGGATCCCACTGCAACCAGTGATCTTTGCTCCTGTGGCTGGGAGCCTTGTCAACTGACAGAGCTCTCAGCCACTTGAGCTGGTTGTGCTCCCTGGTAGCTGGGAGCTCCAAACAGTGCCACGGCTCCCATTCATGGGAGTGCATGGAGTGCCCCCCTGCAGCTGGGAGCTAGGGCTGTGCAAGACAGCTGTGTTTCAATTCAGTTATGGATTCAGCTGTTTCATACAGACTGATTTGTTTTGGTGTTTCGGATCACTGTTCTGTTTAGATTTGGAAGACTGGTAGTGATTCCCAGCTGGCAGTGGCAGCCTGCTGTCATCCCACGTGCAAATCCGGGGGCCTATATCCCCCCAGGAGAGCAGCAGGCTGCTGTCCCTCCCCCAGAGCGCTGGGATTGGAAGGGACCTCAGGGACAGATTGCAGACACTGGCCAGCTACAAATGTCAATATCAGAACAGTCCTTCCTCCCTTTCCCCCCCTTCCTTTCTGTTTCCCTGCAAGCCTGGCTCCAAAACCCCGAAACTTTCCAAAACCTTTTGTACGGTTTTATTTTGGAGATGTTTCAGAGCCTTCAGTTTTGTTTTGGATTCAGTGTTTTGGGTGCTGAAACACCTCCTAAACAAAACGGCTGCCAAAGTTTCACACAATCCTACTGGGAGTCCCACTGGTATTCAGCACTCCCAGCCACAGGGGGACACTACTCCTGTGGCTAGAAGCGCTGTCAGCTGATTAGGGCTCTGAGCTGGAACCCCTCATCAGATGACCAGTGCTCCCAGCAACAGGAGTACATGGGAGCATGCTTATTAGTCTGGAAGCATTGCCCACATGTTTAATTAAAAAGTGTGATAGGAACCATCAACAAAAGTTATTACACATTTTGTATAATCATTTTGCTGCTTATTCCTGGTTTAATCAGAAATTAATTGATTGAACACATAGTGAGGACACTACTTAAGGCATGATTAACTAATCACATCTTAAGTGCAGCTTGTCAGGGCCCTAACTTGCAATTAAACGTCCTTCTTTATCCTTCCTCCTGGCTCCCTGCCCCTCAGTTGCCTTGGCTTCTCCAGAAGACTAGATGTCTCTACCCTCCTACCACTTTGTTCCACAGACTGGTTAGGGGATATGGCTTCTTGTACTTCATCTAGCACGTGGTGCAGTGACTCAACTTAGGCTGATGCAGAGAGGCTTAAAAAGTCCTGTTGAAGTGTCAGTCCCCATAGTTCAGTATGGTGACCTTCCTTTTCCAGAGAGCTGCAGCTGTCCTGC